ATGTTCGTGGTGCTTTCCTAGACTACACGTCTGCTTTTGACTCTGTGCCTATGGGGCCTTTTATTAAATAAGCTTTCGTTGACACAAACAGGATTCTGGGCTAAGAGTTGGTTGCATTCTTATTTTTCTGATAGAATACAGTATACTGCATAAAATGGCAGATCTTCTCCTACCTCGCTTACAAAAGCCGATGTTCCTCAAAGTGCCGTACTCTCTCCTTTTCTTTTTTCTTTCTTCCTACACGACCTGTCTCATTTAAACGAAACTAACTTTGCCAAATATGCGGATGATCTGACTGTATCACTCACTGCCTATCACTTCCGAGTCTGACTGCTGCTCCAAACTTAATAGCTTTCTGTTGGACATAAGCAAGTGGTCTAAGTCAAATGGTCTTATGTTAATTCCTTCCAAATGTCAGGCACTTGACTTTATTTTCAAGCATCGACGTGACTTACATCAACTAGTTAGTTTGCATGATGCCTGTAGCATAGATGGCACGGAAATTGAAACCAAATCAAGCATTAAATACCTTCGATTAGTTCTTTCCACTGACCTTTCATGGTCATCCCACATCTTATCTATTTCTAAGAAAATGTTTCGTCTTACCTTCTACATTAAAAAGTTAAGACAATCAGGTATCAACCAACCTTTAGTTTTGCAATTTTTAAACTCCTGTATTCTACCTATTGTACTGTATTGCTCTCCATTAATCTTTCCTGGGCTTCTCGAAAAATACTATATCATATTACGAAGAGTATTAAATACTGTGAATGGGGCTTGTGGTCTGCCACTTAGTGAGCTCGCTAATACTATAGTCGAGAGGCATGTAAATTCCTGTACGAAATAGGCAAAGGCTGTACTGTCAGACCCTCTGCAACCCCTTTACTCATAACTATCCCCTTGCATCTCATCAGGTAGGACAAGAAGTCAATATAAGTAGTTATATGCTCGAACCACTAAGTACAAAATTCTACAATACCCTATTTAGCCCGTATTTTATGTGATGAATACTCTGTTAGACATGAAACATATAAGTTACTATGTAATTAGCACAGTGAATCGACCCTTTCATCGTTCATCTTTCTGTATTATATGCTGTCACACTTTCTATCGTTTAATTATAACTTTACTATTTCACTTTAGTTGTTATTACTATTATTACTACAATTTTGTACTTTATGCATATTTTTCTCCGTATTGCACACAGTAATTTGCTATGTAGCTGCTATAACAACGTTTTATTATTATTATGTAATGTTTATTTTTATTTTTTTTGTCATTTTTGAGTAAATTAGATGCAATATTGTACTGAATGCTGAAAATTCCTTGCTGTATAATTAGTACTGTTTTTGGAATAAAGCAAAAAAATTATATATATATATATATATATATATATATATATATATCATATTATTATTTCCAACGGGTCAGCGCAGACGTCTACCAACACATGTCCCCTTCGATCGTTCCATTCTGGATATCAGATAGATGAATACCCAGAAAGAAATAGCGACAAAAAAACTATCGAGATGAAAAAAAAAACAACGAAGAGCCGACTGGTCAAAAAATATGTAGGAAGAAATGGAGATGGAATGGCCACAATTCACTGAGGAGAGCGTCGAATGATGTGGCGCTCAATGCAGGCCATCGGTCGAGTGAAAGATGAATGGCAAATGAGCAACGAGTGGGTTCGAAGTGCTAGAGTGACATGAAGGCCACTGTGTGGGAAGAATTTGAAAAAATGTTGACATATTCAATGGGTAACTAAAGTACAGAACCATTTTCATTGTTTAGTTATTTAATATTCTGGTGATAAGTTTGAAAATACACTTCCAACTGCATCTAAAGGCCTAGTCTATCATTTTATTAGAATTGTTATAACTCTTTAATATGGATGGCCCATGATAATAATTTCAAAGAAAAAAATTACCAATTTTAAGTGGTGATTTTACCCGAATTTAATGGATCTCATGTCAGATTTTGATAATTAAGGACATCATTCATATTTAATGAGTAAAAGCTGCACATTTTACTGGGCGACTCTTTCATTCTGGCTTTAGACTTTACAGCACTTCACTTTTAAGAACCTGCAGGAAATCTAATTTATGTGGTTATTACCCCGACCGATAGCTGCTACCTTGATGTGGTGGTCAGGCTTGAACATCGCGATGACCCCACAAGCTACACTGGCTGGAATTAATGTTCCTGCAGGTTTTTGCCATGCTAGGAAGGCTGTTAGGATAGCGATTAGACTAAAAGCAGTTACCGGCATTGTGTAAGAATATTTCTTACACTATGCTGGGGGTCTGAGGGCGAAGTCGTACTGCTGGAGAACGGTGGTGTAACAGCAGTGAGGTGTTTCCCTCAGATGACCAGCATACCAGCCAGCTATTCTGTTTCTCCACTGCGGAGAGAGGGGGTTAGAAAATGTCGACCCCAAAAATTGTACATCCCGACTTACCCTACGGTGTTCCGTAACCGGTGGTAAGTTTACTGATACGGAACCAATCCCAGAAACCAGTTCATGCAGGCCGTCTGTGACCGCAGTTGTCTCCTGGGCTTTACGGTTACACAACACCAACCCTCTTTCTGTTTCAGGTACCCGAAGAATCAATCGAATTCTACGGTGTGGGCATCCGGGAAGTAACAACCACCCACACACGTCCGAAAGCACACGAAGCCTTCCTGAGCATCATTCTCCATTACTCACATCACTTTCCTCATCTTGCTTCTCTACTACAGACATATGGTTATTACATTCGGACACTTTTCCTGATGAATATTGCTCCAGAATGATCCGTTAGCACGACCACCACTTCCAATCCCACATATACATCGTTACCATTAGACAGTCGGCTCGTCTGCATCCGTTGTCCTATGGAGAATCGGTTGTGAATAATTCAGGTTTACTTGTCTAACTGATTGAATGAATTAATAACACTGGACAAAAGTGCATCAGTTCGAGATGTCACACATAAAAGCAGCGGAAAGATGGACAATGGACAAAAACGTACGGGGGAGAGATTCATCACATAATATGAGTGCCAAGTTTTAGAATTCGAAGCACATCAACACGTTAGCAAATCTGTGTCGTTAAGATCCTCTTTGAGGCATCTCAGAAAGTCTTCACCAATTGATTCCCAGCATCTTGAGAACAGACAGTTTACAACTCATAAAGTGGCTCAAATCAACAGTTAAACACTTGACAGATAGGTAACACGCTTTTATCCTAACACATCCAGCTATTATTTTATTAATATTATTATTCTCTTGGGTTCTGTGTGGAACATACGGCTTCAACAATACATCTCCACTTTCTTTTATTTTCTGCTCTCCTCTTCATTTGAGTCCACGATTGCCCATAACCTCTCATCTCCGCATCTTACCCAACACACAATCGCCTTCTTGTCACTTTCACAGTCACGACCTACTCGTCACTCATTTCCTATTCGAGCTCAGCTCAAGCGATGGCCTGCATTGAGCGCGATATCAGTCGACGGTCTCCTGAATGCATGTTGGATCCGTTTCCATTTTCTTCTACATATTTTTTGAGCGATTTGCTCTCGCCTGTTGATTTGTTCATTGCCAGGGTTTCCTGTGACTAATTCTTTCTGGCCATATGATCTTCAGTATAGAGCCAGTGAAGGGGGCAGTTGTTGATAGAAGTCTGTAGTGGGTTGTTGGAAATCCTTCCCGTCACACGCCAAGTTTCTACCCTGTTTACAAGCATCGAGCTGACATCTGTGTTGAATATAGAATCGAAGTCTTGTTCTTTATGTTGAGTGCGGAAGATCTTGTCTTTCCGATTCTGGCTGGCTTTGTGCGTCGGTGGCACAGTGGTTAGGACTCTCGCCAACCATGCACATGGTCCGAGGTTCGAGCCTGCGCCGACGCACACCTTGGTATCTATGGTCGGCCTGCGAAATTTGGGCTACCGATATCCATGCTGAAAATTCCATATTTGTACCAAAAATACAGTGTGGAATCAAGCTGTAATCAAAAATATAAAAAAATCTTCGTCCGTACTGTCATCTGTAGTTGAAAAGACGCTTCCCAGATAAGTGAAGGAGGTAACCTCTGTTAAGTTTCTCCCGTTGATGGCGATTGGTACTGGCTGTTGTTGAGATGCTGTTGATTGGTTATCTTCATCACCCCGGTCTTCTTTATGTTCACCAGAAGTCCTGTTTTCTCTGCTTCTTCAGCCAGTTTGTTGCTTCTCGCTTGCCTGTGAGTCTTCCAGTTTGTATGACATCAAACACATAAATCCTCTGCCACGAAATCCAGATCTTCTAAAGTCTTCTTATCGATCACTGCAGTGTGTTCGTCGCTTCTCACTGCCAACACACACAGTCTGACGCATAATCCAGTCCACTATAATTAAGAATATCATTTTTGGGTGATAACAAGCAGCTGGTCAGCCTTGTCTTACTCCTGTGTGCACTTCGAACGCCTCGTTGAGTTTTCCGCTGTACATACAACTATTCTCTAGCATAGTCCTAATTTAGTTGACATTACTTATCCAGGAAAGTGGTAATTCACCGTGCACATCATACAGCTCAACAATCTTAATCGATGAACCTTCACAACCACATTGAATATCTTCCCCTCATTATATCCAACAATACTATACTCCTAACCTCAGTGTCACCAGCCCCAACCTGGCGAAACAATACGACAGACTCAACGTTAACACCTATGGTCAAAAACTCTTAATTTATTTTTACCTTCTACTATAATAATGATAGTGTCCTACAATTGTGAAACTGAACGGTGCAAAATGGTGGAGAGTAAACACATTCTGTGATGGAAAGATGGATAATACTACGTCAGTTCCAGGCATGAAGCAAGCTGATGGAATTGTGAGAAAACCTTACAGATAACTGGCAACAAGCATCGAAACTTAGATCAGATCAAAACATAAAATACGTTTTAAAAAAAAAAGTGTAAGAATCATATATATAAAACGAATATAAATGTAACATTTAATGATTACTACTCACCTCAATATGTAGAGTAACTCTACTAATATGCATTGGATCGATTTCTTCAGCCACCTTCAAAGTGAAGATATTTGGATTTGGTAATTTTATTGGTAATTTGTCTACAAAATGTGTAAAACAACCAAATAATGGGAAAAAATAAATTTGATTCTAAAAACAAAATATTGAAATTCACTGAAATTAACAGACACCTTTTTGATGGTACGATCATGAATTGACACCAGTTAGATAACCATTAGAAAACCATTGGAAGGTACTAGACAGCTGGCTATTTATTCCATTCCACTTTGTGACTATTCAGAAGTGTTAAGGCATTGGTTAGTGGGGATTTGATTGATTAGTTACAAGATTTCATCATAAGCTGACACATCGGTTAGAGAACCATTGAAAAACCAACACTGGAGTACTGAACAGTTGTTTCCTCCTATTTAGGGACTCTTCGGCAGCACGCAACCATCGCAGGGGTTCGAACTCAGGACTTTCCGGTGACAAGGCTAGCGATCCCGTAGGCCATTAAGCTTTGTCGGAACCGATTTAATCGCAGGTCAATGAATTCTAACTTCTGTCAATTCACGACATAGCACGACCGTTAGTCAGTCTCATCGGCAAGTAAAAGTTCTCTTATCTGACTGGATGGATTGTGTTGTTCACGACCTCTCCCATTGTTTATAAGTATGTCATTTGAACTTAACTTTAAATGGGTTATTTCATTTTATCGGCTAAAGACCAAATCTTATGTTCGAGTAATATGTACTCAACTAAAATAGTAACAACCGAATTACTCACAAAAGAAACTATGTGCCGATATTGTTTAAAAGAGTTCAAACACAACACTGTAGCACTACTCTGGTGTTGAGGACAATGGAGAAAAATTACCTGCTAACCGTCTTCAGAAAGAATCGACATCCCCTTCACAATTTCATCAAAAGGTGTTTAAACTTGAGTCATAACACCAAGAAGAAAGCATCCCCAAAAACGACAAAAAAATTCATCCTACCATATGTATAAAAAATATCTCTGAAATACCAGCTAGCATATCAAGACTGTTTGAAATAGATATGGCACACAAGTCAGTCAGCTAGCGAGCCAACACAATCACGTCATTCGATATTGTGCAGACCAAAAGACCCATCCAACAGTAAAAGAAGATAAGATCAATACCATTTACAAAATAAATTGTATGGATGAACTGCAATAAACATTACATCGTTGGTCAAAGTGGTCGTCCCCTTCGAATCCCAATCCAAGAACACAAATTAGCTTTAAAAAGATGAATACATGTAGATAATTACAGACACCAATTTGATTGTGATAATGTGGAAATTTCAAAAACTGAGGAAACACCAGAGAGTAATGCAATCAGGGAATTTCAAGAAGCCTGGTACTCAAGTGAATTAACCAGCGACTAAAAAAAAACACAATAATTGCAATAGACCAATCACATGACAAGAAATTTCTAATTACAACTCAATAAAAATGATCACTGGAGATATAAATCAACAATCAGTCATGACAATAATTGTCAGTAGTGAGATACAATTACATCATCGTTCTTGAAGAATTCAATTAGCTTCATTTTATACCAAGACCTGAGCTGAAGATGTCGTCTAGAAGGCGGACGACGAAAGCTTCACAATTAAACTATCAACCAGCTGAGAGAGTACAACTAACCAGCCGACTGTTTTACGTCTACAATGAGATAGCAACTAGTTTGCGTAACTTAGAATATCACCACTGAATCAATGCAGTTAACAAACTTGATTTTCAGTTTTTGTATTTAGCCAACTGTCCCCCAACTGTGTATGCAATAAGTACTAATGACTTGGTAAATTAACTATTATTGACTTAGTTATGACTCATTTATCTATCGTTTAGTTGGTGATAACGAGCAGTGTGGGATTTCATCCATTTTCCGACTCATCATCTTGATGTACCTGTATCCTCAGGGACTTTTGGTATCCTCACTGAGATTCAAAATCAGGATCCATACATACTAAGCGCCGAGATGACCACAGAGACAACGAGGAATTCAAAATAATTTCAGAAAATAAATTCCTTTTTCCTTTTGAAATCTTTCGACTGCTTCCAATTAGTATTTATGATTTAACACCGCAATTTGCTACGACCTGGAGGATATGCAAGCGAAAAGCAAGAAGTTGGCAGAAGAAGCATCTAGAGAAGATAGGCCTTCAGGTGAACATTGAGAAAACAGAGGTGATGAAGATTCCTGGCCAACAGCAACAACAACAACAACGACACAACAATCAGCACAGATGGCAGGAACCCGAAAGAAACAACCTCCTACACCTACCTACCTACGCGGGAAGCATTGTTTCAACTACGGGTGGACAGAAATGATGAGGATATCAAAGGGAAGGTTGGAAAAGCAAGACGAGCTTTGATTACTCTCAAGTCTGTGTGGAGATCAACAGCACTACTCAGCATGAAAATGAAAATAAGATCCGGATTTGCAACTCCAATGTGAAATTAGTACTATTATACGGGTCAGAGACATGGAACGTCGTAAAGAGCACCTCAAACAAACTACAGACTTTCATCAACAGCTGTCTTCGCTCGATACTGTTCAAGATCAGATGGCCATATAAGACCGACAACAGGGATCTTTGGGAACGAACCAACCCAGCAGGAACCGATTGTGTAAAAAATAAGCAGGAAGAAATGGGGGTGGATTGGCTCTACTCTGAGGAAACCATCAAGTGACATCACTAGACAAGCCATCGCTCGAATAGAACCCGAAAGGGAAGCGGGCGGCGAGTTGGTCGTCAGTGCGAGTGACATGGAGGAGGAGGTAATGTGAAGAGGAGATGAAAGCATGCGGGCAGACCAGGAGCCAGGTGAAAACTTTAACAGAGAAACGGACGTAATGGAGACGTGTGGCTGAAGGCCTATGTTCCTCTAGAGAGAGAGATAGAGTGGATCTTAGTAAAGATTCACAGATAAATCGTTGTACTAAAGTCTCTTTAATGAAACTTTTATGGTGCATTTTGGAGATAACTTTGTTTATATACATTTTATACTGTGTAACTGTGCATCGATGGTACAGCGGTAGAATGCCCGTTGACCAAACATGGGGTTCCCAGCCACTGGACGCACTCCCACACCTCGCTAAGTCAGTAATAAGGCTGATGAAAAGGGAAGGTTGGCTAGGCATGAGGTTGGCTAACAACCTCATCCCGTAAAATTAAACTTCACTGCTGCCGAAACTTTGAGCCCCCTGCTTGAAGCTGCCTATGTTCCACTGGGAACGCAAAGGAACAAAAATTAAGAAGAATTACTATGTAAGTGAACTGTGGAAGAAAATGAGTACAATTCTTTTCAAAAATAGTTGATGTAAAACATTAAAGACTGTTTGTTTCTTCTATTTATTCAGGTTCTCTGAGTTGGTTACAAGGCTCAGAGGACGCACATAAATCAAAATCATCCGAATGAGTTACAAATTTCTCCTATTACTAAATATTCTTCTTCTAGGGAAGGTGATCTCAAGTTAATAAGGGGAGGGATTTATTTCCTTGAAGATGATGTTGGGAAAAAAGTACTGGCATCGTTTTAATTCAGTGTGTTTTTCAATGGCGGAAATTTAAGATAAGGTAAGCTTTATTCCAAATCAGTACTTGTGATACAGAATGGAATTCTCAGCATTTTACTACAATATTGCATCCAGTTAGTACATTAACAACAAATATAGTTCTACATAGATTAAGGTTATCTCAGTCAGTTTTGACAACAACATATTAGCATGTCGGTAGCAAAGCCGAAATTTAAACAAAGCGTTTGAAGGTGTTAGAAAAGTAGATACTACTAGCATAATTACTGGCGTAAGCGATAGCAAAATGGTCAAGGTATACAGAGTGTGAAAGAATGAACAAGAATGTTTTAAGTAGAGTTTGCAAGGAAAAGAGAGACAAAACAACACATAACAAAAGAAGGTAGAGAGAAAACGTTGTACCTGTAAATGACGTAACTTGGAAAGATGAGATCCATTTGTTCTACTGACTATTTAATAAGTTAAAGGTTTCACGCCTAATGCTTTCTTTATCGCACAGAACACGAGCTAGGTAGGGTATGGTTGAGTTTTCGGGCTTACTAGTTAGTGCGAGCATATAGTTTTCTATATAGGCTTCTGGTCTGCCTGCCTGATGAGATACAAGGGGAGAGTTGTGAATGTAGATGGTGTTGTGAGTCAGATAAAATGGTTTTTGCCCATTTTTCACATGAGTCCATGCGCCTGTCCACCAGAATATTAACGAGTTGGCTAAGTGGCACGTTGCTTACCCTGCTGACAACCTTTAACATCCTACGTAATAAGGTATAGTCTTTCTTCAGTAGCCCAGGAAAGACTAAGGGGGGAACAATAGAGAATAATAGGCAGAATACGGAAGTTAAGAAATTGTAGGAGTAAGGGTTGGGTTATACCAGAATGTCTTAACTTCTTGATGTAGAAGGTTAGACGGAATATCTTCTTGAAAATCGTCAAGACATGAGACGACCAGGAAAGACTAGAAGATAGAGTGACGCCTAGGTATTTAACTTCCGACTTGGTTTCAATTTCAGTGCCATCTCTGTTGCACATCTTGTGAGTCCTAACCAGTTTGTTTAGGTCAGATTTATGCCTAAAGGTGAAATTAACACATTACGAAAGCGAAAAATTCACTTAGCGTCTATTAGTTGGTTGGAGGCAATCGGCTGCTTGATGCTGTGGACACCACCTAGGTTTCCTGTTAGTTGGTCGGACTGATCAGTCAACAAGGCGTTTCTGCAACCACCTTGAAGGAATTCATATCCCTTCCGAGATTCGAACCTGCGTCACCCAGCGAGTGCTGCAGCCAGTCAGAGACGTTACCACTGAGCTATTCGGGTTTGCCATTGACCTTCTAACCTCCTTCCAACCATCTAATATCATCAAGTCAACGTGCAGCGTGATGGTGGCAGCTACCTAGTATAGTGGCCACATTGCGTAACTGACTGATGGAATTCAGTCTGCACCAAACAATGTATTAGACACATCACATCAGTTACTAGTATCCAATCAAGGGATCCACTACAGTCCTACAGGAGGTCAGTCGCCAGCCCAAATAGCTCA